ACTACCTCAGGTAGTATAGCGCGATGTGTTAGCTTTGGAGAAGCGGGTGAAAGATGAGTTTGCATTCCTAAAAGACATGATGGACGAACTGGAGGTCTATGTACAAAATCAATTACAAGCTGCAGGTTCAGTAAATGCTGAGGAGTTGAAGGCATTGTTAGCTGAGATGCAAACTGAGATTGCAAAACTGGTCGAGAAGCCGATCAATATGCCCCCTCCGATTGTGCTAGAGTACCCGATGAGCCCGTTCAATGAGCTTCTTACCACTCAGGCCCTCGACGACTTCTGGGGTGAAGTGCCCAAAGACAAATACAGCAAGAAAAAGCAGAGGATGGAGAGTCTGATGAGGAGAACCCGAAAAACCTCTCCAACGAGGAAATAAGGCAACACAAAAAAGCCCGCAAGGAGTCCTGAAAACAAGCTAGGAAAGAAGCAGCACTTTCTCAGCAGAGGCAAGATGCTTTGTTAGATGGCGCTTCCAGTAGTATGATATCAACCCAGTTAGCAGCAGTCAACCTGACCCAGTGCAGGTCTTTGAGAGTGCACTCGTTAATAAGGGTGCCAACACTGCTCTGACTACCGGTGCCTAGTGCACCATAGGTATGACCCCCCTCATAGCCCTGTTTTGTTTTTCTTTATTTACTTTGATACACATTCCTTTTTTTGGGGAGAGGGTGGTGAACAACCTGCCATTTAAGTGTTAGAGTGTATGAAGGTTGACTCTGTATTGTGTTTTGATGAATTTGTGAAGTTTTTGTGTGTTGACCTGTGCAACAACTAAGTTTTGCTCGTGTGTGTCTGAAATACTATTAAATATGTCCTTGACCTGAAAGTTTGAATGTTAGGCTCTTTATATGACATTCTAGATACTCATGTGTTGAACATTGCTAGCTTAAAACATAAATTGGTTAACTAATGAAAAGTGTAAATATGTGTCATGTGAGTCTGAGATTTATATGAAGTCTATCTCTAGGCGTAGAAACTAGAACTTGCCCAAGTTGTCTTGCGAGAATCTGAAAATAACTGGATATGAGGTGATCATTAGGCCATTTTTGCTAGACCCTTTTAAAACCAGAAATAAACTCCCAAATGAAAAAGATGACCCTTGAACCCCATTTGAGCCTTGCAACTAATTTGTTCTTACCCGTTGATATCATAGCCTTTGGTCTCCAAAGATATGATGCCACAACTCAGGCCAAAAGCCTAAGTTGAGGGTGATTACATCCTGAGTAGAAAAGAAAAATGTAAAAAGAAGGTTCGCCTAGTCAGCTCTAAGGCACAAAGTCAAAAGACTCAATTGATCAAGAGTAATGTGAATGTTCAAAGAATCTGGTAGTATAAATAAATAAATAAAAGTGAATAAAAATGGTGTGGCTACTGGGATGTACCGAATTGAGAAAAGATGGAATCACTCAGATAAAGTTGTGTGCAGATTAAACTTTAGAGAACCAAGGTAAAATAGTCAATCACAAGACCATTGATTTCATTCCCTAGCCCGAGCCTATGCAAGCCTATAAAGTCCTATAGTGATCCTATTCTAGTTATTTGAAAACATAGAGCGTACAAAACAAGGGCAAGCCTATGGTCTTTTGTGCCTAGTGTTAGAAGTTCTTTGGGAGCGTGAGAGTAGAAATTAGTCCAAATTATCATGTGTGAGGGACTTCTTTGGTGTGAGGACACCATGTTTACATTTGATAGTTAAATTGTGTTGACAGATAATGTACACGAGCAGAAGCATGGTTGACTGTGAGTAATGGGATGTCATACATTGATCCTTGCATGTTAGATAAGATGGGTTTGGATACAAGTTGTAGTTGAGATGGCTGCTGCATGCTAGTATCATATCTTGGGTGTTTGAGTGTCAAATGTTTTGTTTTTCTCATCACTTTAGGAGAAATAATGGTTATAAGTTGAGGGTGTTGATGTGCCGTGAAATCTTGGCACATTTGATGCTCAAATTTAAGGATAAATACTAAAATTGATTGTATTTATGTAAGATTTGACCTGTTTGTTGAATGTGTACACAGGTTTACACTTGCATAGAAAATAGAAATAAGAAGGAAAAAATCCTGGAATATACACCACGGAGCCCCAGACGGGTCGTGGTCATGATGATGAGCCGTCTGGAGGCTCTTGGAGATTAAATAGTGTCAGCAAGGCAAGATGAGTTTGATCAAGTCACGACCATGGAGACTATGACGAACCGAGGTCTTTTTCATGATTCGTCTTGAAGTTCGTGAAAGATTTCCAGTGTACAGGCTTTAAGGAGTTAAGTTTGGTATGGCTAAGTAAGGACCACAGATACCTAGACAGACCGTGGTCCTCATGATGACTCATGATGCTACTCGTGAAGGTGAGCCATTGAGAAGATCTCGATGAGTTATACCCAAACGGGCCGTGGTCCTCCTACCTGTCTGTGATGCTGATCGTGAAGGAGTTCAAAAAAAGGGAGCTCACACTGTCTAAGTGTGAGACCATAGCAGGCTTCACGGACCGTGAAGCTCTTGACGGATCGTCATGTCGTCCGTGAAGCAACCCGACAAGTTAGTCTTACTTCGAGTTGGACTCTTTTTAGTCAGACTATTTGAATTAATTAGGTTTAATTTTTGTTTTATCTAGTCATATCTGGAACAAGAGACGACTTTCCTATTATTCTCTACTTTGGTTTTTATCGATTAACATTGGATCAAGACTTGAAGTTTGGTTTGGTTTGGTTTTTGAATATCAAGTGTTCTTTAAATTTTCAAATCTTCGTAAGTGATTCTATTAATGTATTCAATATTTATTTGTGCCTGTTCAATTGAAAGCATGAGTGGTTAAACACCACAACTAGGGTTGTTGAAACTATGACAAAAATCTAAGTGTATAAGCATAAAACGAGTAGAAGGTTATTAATAATTGCATAACATAATTTGACTTTCGTTATTCATTCTTTCTAATGAGTGCACACATTAGAACTTGCCTGTATCTATGAATTGTTTGAGAGGAAATCAATAGTTAGGAAAAAGTCGAGTTAATCTATTGATTAGGAGTGAAAGTTCAAGTTCGAGAGAAGAGAATTTTGACACCAAAATAGGCGAGGGTTATATATGATAACACTCTTAGACCGAGACGATACGAGTATGAGTTATCTAACAAGACCGAGAGGTGTTAGATACATTTAGCTTGCCTGTAATATGCAAAGAATAGATCACTGAAACTCATTCACGAATCAACACTAGATGTAACATCATGGGAAACACAACCCTGGATCCATTCATTTATCATCACAACCTTGAAGTTAAAACTTTGTTAATTGTGTTAATCTGGATCTTATAACAATATTGGTTACTTGAACCTTACAACCAAACCCATTTTTACATTTCGTAATCACTTTCTTTAGTAAATAATAACAACAATTGGATAAACGCGATAGTGAAACTATTTATGTAAAGAAATTCTCTTTGGGATCGACCTCAACTCACGTTGAGTCCTATAAATTGATTTTAACCGTTTATACTTCTTAATTGAAGTGTAAGTTTGGACGTATAGCTATAATATGAATTTGGCTTGCTTTGTGGGATGTTAGTAGGTGTTATCATGACTTGAATTTTTGGAGTCTGAGTTTGTGACAATATTCTCCATTTAGAGAGAGGTGAATAGTAGATCTCCAAATTTAGAGAACTACTATTTATACTCTCTATTTTACTTTTTTATTATTTCATTTTTATTTATATTATATAATATTTGTAATTAACATATTATTATCTCGATCCTAAACGAGTCATGAGTGACACCACACTTAACCTTCTAGGTGGGTGAACCAATGAATTCAAACACCAACTTATATTATTTATTCAACTTATGAAATACGACAATAATGCGGAAACTCAAAGCTTATTAAAGTGAAAAATAGGAATCAAGCAAACTGATTCACCAATTCTTTTCCTTTCTTCAATGCCTCAGAACGTTCCCAAAATCTATCAAGTATGTATAATTTGTAAGAAATGAGTCCATAAACATCCATATTACTATATGTCTAGTCTAGACCTAAAAACTCACCCAACCTTATGTTCAAGTTCCTAAATTTCAAGCCTAGAAGTAAGTCTCAATTCCTTCCAATTATCATAATTTTAATGATATTCATATAATACATCACACCTAATATTTAATAATCTTTTTCAATATATCAAAACTTAATTTATAATATGATAACAAAATAATAATATTTAAAATTGAAGCCATTGGTTACGAAACCAGTGGCAACAATCATGAACCCAAAATTTCCCAATTCCTTATATGTGATGTCGATGACATCAAGGGAAAGAAATTACAATATTTAATTGAAAATAAGTATGAAATTTATGGACAGAAGAAGGAGTTTAAAAAGAATGGCTTAAGCTTACAATTTCCCTACAAGCCTACCACCCTAATTGATTAATATTCATTACGTATAATGATTGGCTAATCCTTTGAATTTCTACCCATTAACATACCAATATTAATTACTTAAAAAATGGGAAGAGGTCATTTTGATACATGAAACTATTCCTTTAATGAGACCCTTAGGGCTTACTACCGCGACTGCTTTGGTCAGTTTCTTTACTCTCTTCTCTTTATTTTCTAAATAAAATAATTATGTACTAAAAAGTGACAAACTCCACCAACTTATTTTAATATACATGGACCAAGTGGTATAAAGTATTAAATAAATTTTATACTTGGCCCATTTACAATCAACTAAAATAATTATTTAATAATACCCACCAGCTAAATAATCTTAGTTAAATAACTAGTTCCAAATTACCATTTAAAATTTCCAGAAAGAGTCGATATAGTTCTAGTACTTAAAATGACCTAACGGGTCGTTACGTCATATACCAATTTACCCGTCGTTCGTCCCGAATGGTCAGAAAAAGGTGAGGGTAAGAAATGATACCTGACTCGACAAGAAGATGTGGATATATTCCGTGCATACCAATCTCAATCTCCCATGTTTACTCTTCGATCAACCGATTCCTCTACTGAACCTTCCCATAAGCAATCTCCTTTGACCTCAACTTGCGGACCTCACTATCTAGAATAGCTACATGCTCCTCTTCATAAGACAAATTCTCATCAAGCAGGACCGTATCCCAGCGTATAATGTAGTTCCCATCACCATGATATTTCTTCAGCATAGACATATGAAACATTAGGTGCAGTCTTGACAAGACTGGAGGCAAAGTCAATTCATAGGCCACCTCTCCCACATGCTTACGAACTTCAAACGTCCCAATATACCTCAGAATATGCTTACCTCTCGTACCAAACCTCATCACACTCTTCATGGGTGAAACCTTCAACAATACTTGATCTCCCTCCATAATTTCCAAGTTTCTGACCTTCCGGTCAACATACTCCTTCTTCCTGCTCTGAGCTGCTAGAAGTTTCTCCCGTATAGATTTCACCTTCTCTAATGATTCCTTAAAAAGATCAGTACTTCAAGGTCTCACCTTAAATGCATCAAACCAACGAATGGGAGACCTACATCTTCTTCTATATAATGCCTCAAAAGAAGCCATATGAATACCCGAGTGATAACTATTATTGTACGAGAACTCTGCCAAGGGTAAGAACTGATCCCAATGACCACCAAAATCTTTCACGCACGAAGCATATCCTCTAGCACTTGAATTGTTCGCTCAAACTGCCCATTAAACTAAGGGTGAAATGCGGTACTAAGATCCAATATAGGACCTAACTTAGTCAGTCCTCTTAAAGTTAGAAGTAAACTGCGTACCTCTATCTAATATGATAGAAATAGGAACACCATGCAATCTAACAATCTCACAGATATAGAGTCTGGCTAACTTCTTGGCAGTATAAGCCATCTTGACCGAAATAAACAATCAAGCTATCAACAATCACCCATATCAAATCAAACTTACCAAATGTCTTTGTAAGACCAACCAAGAAGTCCATCTTCACAAAACAAAATCACTATCACAAGAGGTAGATATGGAAATACCTCACCCCACCTAACAAAAATAAGCAGTTGTCCTCAAATCAACTAATACAAGAACAAAGTATCACAAAATAACAGAGAGGGATGGGAAAAATCATCCTGCTAGGCTAAGCCTTGGGTGATGTTTGCATCTCAGTCACTCCATCTGTCTAGGCATCAGTGCCCGGGGTCACACTCTGAAGTTGGGCATTAATGTTCGGTGTCTCGTCAACCTTAGCTCCACTGAATCTCACCATAGATTAATCCCTCAAGGAGGTCTGAACAACGGAATGTACCATAGCCTCCTCTATATCAAATAGGCCCTCATAGATAGTCTCCTCCTGAACACCGAACTACTCCTCATCTGTCTCGGCCTCTAACTCAACATCAACAATGTCAACCCTAATATCATCTCTGGTGGTAGCTGGAAGCACCTCAGAATGAGTTGGAATATCTGTGCTTGGGTCATCAAAGATCTCTATAATCCCAAAAATTAGAGACATATCGATGGACTTCAACTAGTCCACATCTTTTCTCAACTCCACAATCGCGGCTTTTATTACCACATGGGTAGCTCCCTCGTCTCTCACAAACCTCAACTCTCGCTGAGAGGGCATCATGGCATCTTTGAGCGGCGTTAACACAACAGTAATAGCTCGCTCAATCATCCTAGGAACCTCAACCTCTAGAATGGAGGCACGCATATCAGGTGAGTGTGCTAGATGCCCCATCTGAGAAGCATGTACTGGGTGATCGGAAGCCTGGAGGCAGTAGTACAACCAACTTATCTAGGGGGAGGGGCAACAACAGAAGAACTCGGAGTCTCAGAGGGAGTAGAGCTAGGAGTACCTGAAGGCCCAGTGGCCGGAGTAAGCAATACTACCTCTGCAGGTAATGTATCAATATCAACCTTTGAGGATGTGTACATCGGGGCTGCCTTCCTTCACTCAACCTCATCCTTTTGGTACTCGGTCTCAATACGCCGGATGTCAGTAGATGAGGTGAGAGTCACCTTCACATCCGTCTTCTCATCTCACAGAAC